ATCAATCAATCAATCAATCAATCAATCAATCAATCAATCAATCAATCCATCAATCCATCAATCCATCAATCCATCAATCCATCCATCCATCCATCCATCCATCCATCCATCCATCCATCCATCCATCCATTATCTTTACCCCCTTTTTCCTTTTTGGGTTGCAGGGGCCACTGGTGCCTATAGTCAGCAGTCACTGGGTGAGAGGTGAGGGACACCCTGGACAGGTCTCCAGTCCATCATAGGGCCACATAGAGACAAACGAGACAATTTTTTTTATATGCCCTGTATGACCGACATGTTGTTATTTCCCCCCGTATAGCAAATACTGACACATCTCATCTACGTTTTTCTCAAATGAACGAGCAGTGATTCAGCTGGGAGTCCCTCTCCACCCCAGAGTGCTCAGTGCAGATACACACTGCAAACAAACCACGTATGTGCACAGCTGCCAATGATGCTGTTCTCGATGACAGACATCCCACACCGCACCAACCTCCCCATAAATCTTGTATCTAAAATATTACTTTGAATTTAACTAAATGTTTGTAGTGTCGTCACCATTGTACAGATATGTCCAACTGGTGCATGTAACCAAACTTTTGGTACTCAAGAGACAGCGCTGCTGCGGAAGCACGAGCAGCCTGTTTGAGTGTCTCTGTGAGACTCATGTGTCTGCTGCTTTAGTTCTTATAATTCAAAAATAATAACACTGAAATACAAATATTTGTAAGCCCCATATTATAAGAAAGATAAATGTATCCGTTTAACTTTTTTTTTCCCCAAAACTCACAAAGTCTCTGTGAAAATCAGTTTATCATAAATATCTGTACTTTTTAAACAATTTTGAGATGTGTACAAGTGTGGAGTGACAATAACTTTACTTACATACAATATCCATGTAAACACATGAGTGTTATGTCTCAGATTTATTTATATATTTTTTAAGTTGTTTGAAAGTCAACATTTTTCTGTATGCATTGGGGGGGGGGGGGTAGTAAATGATTAATGGTAATAATAATAATAATAATAATAATTCATTTTATTTGAAGGCACCTTTTAAAACACTCAAGGTCACCGAACAAGAAATACAAAGATAAAAAAACAATAAAACAATAAAATACAGATATCAATAAAATCAAATGCTAATAATGATAAAATACATAATGACATTAAACAGAATAAGCAAGTATGAAAAAATGAGTTTTAAGGTTAGATTTAAATGAGGGCAGAGAGTCAGAATTACAGATGTGCTGTGGAAGAGAGTTCCAGAGACGAGGGGCTTTGCGGGAGAAAGCTCTGGATCCCATGGTTGTTAAGCAGGCAGGAGGTATTGCAAGAGGGATGGATAGGGAGGAGCGAAGACTTCGGGCAGGTGTGTAATAGCAACGAAGATCAGTGAGGTACAGAGGTGCCAAGTTATGGAGAGCTTTGAAAGTGAGGAGGAGAATCTTAAAGTCGATGCGATATTTTATGGGTAACCAGTGAAGATCTTTAAGGATAGGGGTGATGTGTTCCTTCGACGTAGTTCTAGTGATCATCCGGGCAGCTGTGTTTTGAACAAGCTTACAAGATTATGGATGATTTTGAGAGGAAGATCTGAGAGGAGGGAGTTACAGTTGACTAATCGAGAGGTGACTGGAACATTGATAAGGATAGTTGTGCTGGTGGGGGTAAGAAATGAACAGAGACGGTTGATGTTTCGAAGATGAATATATGCAGATCGAGTAATGTCATTGACATAAGATTCAAAAGATAATGTGCTATCAAGGATGACACCCAGACTCTTAGCTGTAGGGGAGGGAGAAACTGTGGAATCATCAACTTTAATTGTGAACATATTACATTTGGATAAGGTAGACTTGGTGCCAACAAGGAGGAATTCTGTTTTATTTGAGTTCAGTTTAAGAAAGTTCTTATTAAACCATAATTTGATTTCACAGAGGCAGCCTGAAAGAAAGGATGGTGGAAGGGTGGTGTTGGGCTTGGTGGAGAAGTAGAGCTGGGTGTCATCCGCATAGCAGTGAAAATTAATACCAATTTTTTTAAAGATAAGGCCAAGTGGAAGAAGATAAACGATAAACAGGAGAGGACCAAGAACAGAACCCTGCGGTACACCTGAAGTAACTGTGGAGGACTGTGACTTGAAGTTCTTGAGTTGGACAAAGTGCTGACGGTCAGAGAGATAAGATTGAAACCAATTTATAGCAATGCCAGAAAAACCAATGGAATGTAATCTATTGAGAAGAATATTGTGTGAAATGGTATCAAATGCTGCACTCAGGTCAAAGAGAACAAGAAAAGTTAAAAGTCCAGAGTCGGCAGCAACCAGGAGGTCATTGGTGATTTTAATCAAAGCTGTCTCGGTGCTGTGGAGGGGGCGGAAACCTGACTGAAGTTCTTCAAACAGATTATTATCAAAAAGATGATTGTGAACCTGGGCTGCAATTGTTTTTTCAAGTATTTTGGAAATAAAGGGTAGGTTAGAAATTGGTCTAAATTTATTCAAGTCATTTGGATCAGCACCTGTATTTTTAAGAATTGGAGATATTGCAGCAGTTTTGAGTGATGGTGGGACAAAACCAGAAGAGAGAGATAAATGAATAATCTTAGTTATTAGAGTAGATATAAAAGGTAGACAGGCTTTAACTAAGTGTGTAGGAAGTGAATCAAGCTGACAGGTAGACAATTTGGATTTAGAGATGAGACTACAAACTTTTGACAGAGAAGGGAGTTGAAAACTGGAGATAGGTACCGTAGTGGGGTTATATGAAAGAAAATCAGAGGCGGTGGATTGCAACAAGGACAATTCCTGATGGATGGTTTCAATTTTGTAAATGGACTGTACTTATATACAGCTCTTTTCTATCTAATCAAGATACTCAAAGTGTTTTGCTTTACAATTTGTGCCCTCATTTACCCATTCATACAGCACTCTAATATATACTCTATCAATACAAAGAATAATCAGTGCTTTATCACATTCACACACCAGTGATCACATTCATACACCGATGATCACATTCATACACCAGTGATCAGAACCATACACCAGTGATCAC